TGGTAACCCTCATACCTAAGGTCCTCTACTTCACTACATAGTGTCTCAATTTTCTCAAGGAGAGATTTAACATAATCACTACAAGTTTGAGAGCATGAGGCTAAACTTACCTCGGTTTTGTTTGGTTCAAGAGAAGAGGATACCATCAATGAAAATTGTAGCTCCATCACTTGATCTTCAGCAGCAATAACCTCAGCAGGAGCATCATCACCAACCTGAGCCAAATGAGCATTTTTAGGTCCTGATATGTTTAGGTCGTGCGTCTAATCTTCCCAGTCAATGGATTGTGCAACCATCGCCTTCTCGTTGTTGACTTGTGCACCGCTCCGATAGTTTCCTACTATAACTATCATCCGATCATTGTTCAATCTTCTGTCTGGCTTTAGGCACTCATGAGCAAAATGACCTGGCTCGTGGCAGTTGAAACAACGAAGCTTTCCCTTGCTGAACCCTACCTTCTTGTCAACACTCATCCACCAATTGTTCTTCACGGTCTTCTTTGCAAACTGTTTTGCCCTGAAAACTTTCATGACAATTTTCCATGTGATATCCATTTCTTCTATGTCTTCAGGATGACTTTGATCGAGATTGGAAAAAGACAATTGGGGCGAAAGATCTCCAGCTACAAGAGCATTGTTGCAGTTAACAAGCACTTTAGCAAGAGCATGATTTTTATCACCTCCTTTCCGTTTGATGAGGAAGCCACATTAGATGAAGAAGCAACTTTAGTAGCAATGAACGATTGAGCAGGAAGTGAAGTGGCTGATGGAGTTGAAAAACACTAAGCTTGAACTTGCTAAGCAGAAAAAGATTGACCTGTAGAAAGAGAGGTGAAAGCTGAAAGAGCATTGTTAGAGGAGATCCCGAGATTTGCAGCTGAGAATGAATTCACGTGACTTATCTCCCACTGTTTTACATCAATATCACAGGCCTTGATGACCGCCATCATTTCAGCAAGAGAGAGCCGGTGTAGTTCCTTAGTTTTCTTGATCACAACTATATTCATATCCCATGACTTTGGGAGAGAATTCAATAGCTTCTTTTTTATTTCAGACTTGGTATAAACAATCCCAGCCACAGTCATCTCAGTGGTAAGAGTGGTAAATCATTGTAGTTGTTGCTCAAGAGCTTCTCCAGGAATGTAGTTGAACATGTTAAACCGTTTTCGCAACATATCTTAGCGACTCTCCTTCATGTATTCGTTCCCTTCATAAACCTCGATCAGGGCTTCCCAGAAAGCCTTAGCAGAAGTGTAATCCCTAAAGCCTTGAGCAATATCAGGGGACAGGGCCATAGTCAGAGTGGCCAAAGCCCTTTCCTTCTCCTCCACTTTTTCAAAGTCCTAATTGGTGTAATTTTCAACCGCTTTATCAACTACTTGTCCCGCAACAGTAGTGGTTATTCTGACAGGATTTTTATGATACTTCTCTAGACTTTGAAGTCCTTCATTTTGATGTACTTTTCAATCCTATACTTCCATTTTGGAAATCCTTCAGCGGATAGCAGTCTTGGAATTCGAGTGGTTGTGCCCATTACCGAATCCAGCTCGTGGTGGTGAGTTTGACTTAGAGACTCCATTTAATATTAATTAGAATTAAGATTATTTAAAAAATAGTTTCTGGTAAAATTAAGAGTTTACGGTTCGGGAATGGTTTATGGCCGTAAACTCAGTTTACGGTCTGAGTTTACGGTCGTAAAGGAATTTACAGTGAAGTGTACGGTTGTTGAAGATGCTCCTTTTACGGCCTTAGAACGAAGCTTACGTTCAAGAACAATGAAGAAGTTTGCAGTTGTAATCATAGTTTACGGCCGTAAGCTTCGGCCGTGAACTACCAGAAGTTCAAGAAAACCTTGATTTCTAAATTGATCTTAAAGCCCTTTCTCAGTAGAAACCAATTTTCCATCGTAAATAGTCGAAAACTCGATTGTATTCCACTTTGACACCGGTTTCGCTTTGATACCAATTGTAAGGTCCTGAAACCGATCTTACCAGTGATCAAATAGCAAACACAATCAATAACAATTAAGAACAAAGTAGAAAACAGAATATCAACAATCTTGGACACGCTTCTATTAGCAAAAACATCTTGTACAGCTTGTGGAATAGCACACGAGACTCTGAGGCATCAACAACCAATAAACGACCTAACAAACCCCTATGTATAATAGACTTGGACCGGCCTTTGGGTTTACGACCGTAAACTCTGGCTTAGGCCGTAAACAGACACTTACACTACCAAAAATGCATATTAAACCAAAAGACCCTATTACAGCGAAAGCCTAGACCAAACCATTGATTAGACCCTTCATTTATAGTTGATCAAAGAGGATTGGATGGATGGTTTGAAGAGGGAAAATTAGAAGGTGGAGTGAATCATGAGGAAGATTCCATTGTATGTCAAGGATAGTCGGGGCCTGGTGATGCTGTGTGAGTGGGTTTAGGTTATGACGACTGATGGGTCAAGACAGATGATGTTGGAAGAGGATCAATAGTCGAAGTTTTCGATCCATCCAGAAAGTATAAAGACGTATATGGATCTCAACTTGAGCTATTGGTGACCCTGTATGAAAAGAGAGATAGCTTGGTTTGTGGTGTTATGATTAAATTGTTGGTCAAAGCCGAACATTAGAGACCCCAAAACAAAATGTAGTCAGTACTCATTCCTATTTATAAATGAGAAGAGATCACTATGGACTTCATCTCAAAGTTGCTAAGGATGACATGTAGGTTTGATTTTATCTATGTAATTATCGATACATTGACCAAGAGTGCACATTTCATTTCGATTTCTGAGAGTATATCAACCAAGAAGTTGGCCAAAGTTTATATTCAGGAGGTGGTTATTCGACACGAAGTGCATGTTTTGGTGGTTTTGGATCAAGATGTTCATTTTATCTCTAGGTTTTGTAGAAATTTTGATGAGGATTTGGGTACTTAGTTGATTTTAGTACAACATATCACCCTTACTAATGGATAAAGTGATCGGAGCATTCGAACACTCAAAGATATGTTCAAGGTGTATGTGCTTGATATTGGCGGGAGTTGGGATAATTTTCATCCAAAAGATGAGTTCTCCTACAACAACAGTTACCATGCTAGTATTGATTGATGACCTTTCAAGATATTTTATGGCAGGAGGTGTAAGACCCCAGTTTGTTGGGGCGAGATTAGACATCGACTCATGAGGAGTACCGATGTAGCTCTCAAGACTACTAAGATGATAAAAAACGTGCACGACATGTTGTGGGTCGTGCAAAGTCAACAAAAGAGTTATGCCGACCGATGTCATTCAAATCTCGAGTTCCATGTGGAGTATTTGGTACTGTTGAAGGTGTCAACTTGGAAGGATGTCATCCGTTTCCAAAACGGAGGAAATTAGGTTCGTGATTATTAGTGCTTTCAGAATTATTGCACAGGTGGGTAAGGTTACACACCATTTAGAGTTGCCTTATGAGCTCAGTCACATACATTACACTCTCTATGTCTCTTTGTTGCAAAAGTGTCGATCAGATAACTCTACAATGATTCCTTTGGATGAAATTCAGGTTGATGAGCACTTAAATTATGTACACAGACCAATTGTGATTCTCGACAAAAACATAAAGTTTTATGCAAAAAAATAGGTAAAACTTGTGAAGGGGCAATGGTAACATGAAAGGTATTCTGAGGGAAAGTAGGAGCCAATGGTCGAGATGAGAGAGCATTAGCCTAATTTATTTACGAAGGCCGACTTCGAGGACGAAGTCTAATTCTAGTGGGGGAGAGTTGTAACATATAAATCCATAGGTACCTTAAATTTTGCAAATTTGGAGTTTTTAGGATCGCCATAATGTAGTGGGAAGGAACCACGACGTGGCAACTCAAGTTCAGCCATGTATTTCATTTAATCCGCAACAGTGTGGCAGTATATGCCACGGTGTGGTAGTTGGTAAGTGAGAAATCCTATTTTCTAGGTTTTTCTCCCTATTTAATGGAATGAGGAGGCCACGGTTTGTTCACCCTTAGCCGCCTTCAGACCTGTGAAACCCTAAATCTCGCTCTCTCTCTCTCTCTCTCCATCATTTTATGCCTTTATTGGTGTTTTTTGAAGTCTTAGACGGAAGGAAGAAGAAGAAGTGAGCTTAGATTGAACAATCTAGTCCTCATCCTTGGTATTGGAAATCTTATGGACATTTGTAAGTTTCCAAGACTCGATTTTATCAAAATAGATTTCTAGATCTTATGTTTTTTCGTTGATATTCATGTATTTTAAGATGGAATGATGGGTACGTATAAAGCTTGCAGCTTTATGAATCTATAGGACTTTAGGGTTTGATTATTGGTTTGGATATGCTTTCTTGATGGGTTTTGAGCCATGCATGTGGTTTCCATGCAAAAACCATCTTTTTGGCTCATTATGGCTTCAGGACATGCATTCACTACTAGAAAATAGCCTATTACGACACGCATTTTACGACACGCACTGACTAATGATATGAAAAAGTGTGTGCCCTAAAAATAATGTCAGATCATTAGAAATTTGAAGAATTTAGGAGGTCGTATAAGCATGTCGTTTTCTAATTTTTTTAGGAAATGCGCGTTCTCTGTTAATAACAAAGTGGGGATACGAAATCCTGAAAGTTAAAAACCCCGCCTTTGTGTTCTTTTCACCTTTGTTTTCACTAGCCGAAAATCCCTTCTCCTTACAAGCCCTACGTTTTGATTGACGTAGAAGCAGGTTCGATTCTTCTCTTACAAGTTATGTCGAGCTTGATTTTTGATATGAGAACAGAATGCAGGGGTTAGTTTTTAACTATCCTAAATTCCAAAAAATCGTAGGGACCGTTCTTGGTAGGGATTTTTTTCAAGAACGAAGCACTTGGTGTTCTCTGGCCTCTACAATAATCATCGATCATGACTGTGCTTGAATAGTTTAATGTACCTCTTTCTCAACACGCTTTCTTGATCATATTTGTCTCTGATTAGCCCTCATGACTACCACACACAAACACTATCGATCATGAAATGTCTTCAAGTTAATCATCATTCTCCCTCTTTTTCTATCTCCTCTTTTGATACCTCTAAGGAACCTACCGATTCCACTACCACCATCACAACCTTCTACTCTGCTCTGCTTCCATCACTCTATGAGAAAAAACCTAAAACCTCCTACCGCCATCACAACGATGCTTCACCTACTGAATCAATAGTTACAGCAACTACCTCGTCATCTGACTATCCCAAGAAAAACCTAAACCAAGTCATCAATCCACTTCAAAAAACCCTAGGAACCATCTATCAGCTCTACCTCACTGTCTCTTCCTTAAACGTTTCCTCCTAACTTCCGCTTCTCCAATGCTTGCAAGTTCTTTACTTGTGTATTTATCAATTTGATGTATTTTCTTAACACGAGCCTGTTTCAAAATTGCGATACTAACTCGCTATGTAAAATAAATTCTTAATCAAATCATCTACATTTACTTATGGAATATGGATAATTTATTTTTTCTCTGTATGTAGAAACACACCTGTTATGGAGATGGATAATATGGTGAAATTGTCGGAGAAGGGTAACATACAGGTTCCGATGGAGGTCTTAAAGTAAGAATAAAATAGTCGATATCTTTTCTATTGAAAACTCTTTATAATGCTTTAAATTATAATTATCTGATGTGATTGAATGATTTTATACTTTATAGTTTGATTGATGATGGGAAGAATCCGGATGAATTCACAAGGGACGTTTTAAGCAACTACATTGCTTAAAACCAGATCACCAAAGGAAAACCTGATGCTTTCAAGGTTTGTATGGTCATTCTATATGTTTAGTTATCATGAATCTACTAATGTGTACATAACTATATCTCTTTGCGTATATATGAGTTATATCTTCTTGTAGGACTTATTCTGTAGACTAGAAGCATCTATTCATCTATAAAATAAGTTTTTGTGGAAATCTTTAGAGTTAGTTGGGCAGCATACTTTTGCAACTTTTATGCAGTTTAAGGTGTATCTTGTTTGCTCTTTGTATTTGTGATCCTGGATTTTGAAACCAATTTAGGGTTTTCTTCTCTTCTTTGAAGGTCTGTATTGTGAAAATTGTTTCTTAAAGAACGTAAGGGTAAAATGGTCATTTTGGTATAGATACCAGATAATTGATGGGCAACCGAAACTACGAGTTATTACAATCACTAGAAGATGACTCGAGACTGTTGTTGTTTCAGAGGTAAAAAAATTAGTAAAACCCTTTTCTTTATTTTGGAAAAAGACATAATTACCATTTTCTTTAACTGGAGTTAATGCAATGTTTTAATCAAGAGACTGCTATTGTAGTAATGGCTAGATTAACTTCTTATAAAATGGAAATGGAGGTGAATTTTCACTTTCCTTTCTAGTACTTTTTACATAAATCAAATATATAAATTTTATTTACCGAATTACCCTTTTCAGGAGTCATTTGATGCAACAAGGTGGATAGAGAGAAACCTAATTCGTCTATGTTCCAAATTTGGGGCCTATATAAAAGACAACCCTTCTTCATTTTCTTTAAACCCTAGTTTCACATTGTTCCGGCAATTCAAGTTCAATCTTCAAAGATCACAGTTTGTTCCGGTAAAAAGTTGTTAATTTATTGAATTGCCCTTTTTGTTATATGTTTTTAATTTTATGAAATGTTGGCAGGTGTTTAATAATAGTCCAGATGAAACTACTTGTTTTTGGATGATGTTAAATAGAGAAAGCATAACAAATGCAATTGTGATGATTCGGCCTTCATAAATTTCAGATTCATTTAACTATCTTCCTTCTCTTGCATTGCTTGATGTCACGTCAATTTCAGCTCATAGAATCTTGTTGTTAGATTCTTATTATAGTGTAGTTGATTTTCATGGGATGATAATGGCTTAATGGAGAAACAATGGCTACCAAAATCAGCCTGAACATCAAGTACTTTCTCCTTGTTTCACTTTTCCTTTTTATAATTTAAAAAAAATCCATCATATTAATATTTTTTTTTATATATTGTAGGCATTTGCTCAGTTGTTAACAAGCTCCACATGAGGATGCATAACTGATAATACGTGAGAGGTTTCCTGTCCCACGATTGGTGGTGTGTGATGAACATGGTTCTTAGGTTAATGACCATTTTACCCTCGTATTTCGAATAACAAATTTCACAATATTGATTAGTTATCGAGTAAATTAAATTACAGATAAAGTGTTGTTATATACATAAGGTTTGTTTCTTTTCTAGACTGAATAAACCGTTTGATTGACACCAAAATGACTATTTCACCCTTGCATTCCAAATAAAATTTTTTTACAATAGTCATTAATTATAGAGTAAATTACATTCTTAGTTACTGAATGTAGCTAATTTTTTCAAATTTCGTCACAAAAATATGTGAAAAACAAGCAAGATTCTTATTGGCTAAGTTGAATCCATTAGCAACATATAACAATGAAGTGGCTACAACTGGAATAGATGTCATCTTCACTGAAGTGGCATCAACAACTCTACCAGCTAAAGGTAGTTGCTTTTTGCTTATTATCCGCTTGAGTAGGTTAACTAAAATTATCTCGTCATATTACCAATGTTTTTTTTTCATTATTAAAACAAATGTATTTTAATCTTTATCAATGTAGAGATAAATTAGGGCTAAGTCTTGAGTTCAGGTCTTTTGTTGCTAGTGTTATGATTTTGCACAACATACTTTATATCAGGTAATCTATCCATTCAATGCAAGCTTAATATATCATTTTTTATGGGACTTATAATAATGAGTAATGACACACATACACATATTTATTGCAGGTGGACAATTCGAAACTTATTTGCAGCTCTCTTTCTATCAAGCATTGGGATACTTATACATGTAAAGTTCTTGTGGACACATGTGGATATATTACTAGCATCTGTTATTCTGGTTATACATGTTATGACTACAGTTTCTGCAGTCATTACAAAGGCCTTTGGATATAGTGTTAAGTCATAATCTTTTACCAGGTTCGACTTATATATATATATATATATATATATATATATATATATATATATATATATACATATTGTGAGTTTTAGCCCTAAATAGATTAAGCCCTATCACATCAGCCATGAGACATTTCTCGTCTACAACCAAAAATGTAATATGGATTCTTATGATTTTACATATCAATCATATTGAACCAAAAGGGGATCTAAACACTAGTAGACCTTTGCATAGTGTTGAAATAAGATTTTAGAGAAACTAGTTTATGTAGATTTAATTTCATGTTTTTGTAGATGACAGTTAGGGATGCTTTGAACTCTGCTCTTGATGAGGAAATGGCTATTGATTCCACTGTCTTTATCATGGGTGAAGAGGTAACTAGCTTGTACTGTGTTTATCATTATATATCTATAGAGTCTTTTTCTATAAGCCTCATCTTTTTTGTGATGTTCAGGTTGGAGAATACCAGGGTGGATACAAGGCTTGAATTTCAAAAGCCTTCCACTTGATGTATCAAGTGTCTGTGCGTTTTGGTCTTATAATATTGGATTTGTTTACACTTAGATATATTACAAAAATATTGTTACACAAGTATGGGCCTGACAGGGTTGTTGACACCCCTATCACTTAGTTTTTCCCTCATATATTTAGGTCCTTACAAGATGCATCTAATGATGTGAAGGTATATTAAGATCATAAGATTATAAATTTATTTTTTAATATTTTTCAAGAAATGTCAACAACATGCAGGAGAAATCATACTATACATTGGTTCCATTGTTAATGAAAGCTATCGGATGGCAATGAGGAAGTATACTATCCCTTGAGAGACTAAAACGTGTGGTGGTTGCACATGGTCTTTAGTCAGAATCATGTCGTGTATCTAAAATCCAATCGTCGCCATCGATCCAAGTCGACCTCGATCTAGATCAAGGTCACCGAGGGTTGTTAGTTTTATAAGAATGTATAACCCATGTTAGCAATGTATTATTTTTTTTAATAATTTGAATGATTATTTGTATGGCATATTATACTTTGTGCAATTTATTTTATTTTTTGTGAATGAAATTTTGTTTTATATTACAATAAATGTGTGATGTAATTTGAAAAATAGTAAATTTACAATATATATATATATATATATATATATATATATATATATATATATATAATTTTTAGAACATTTAAACTTTATGACACGCAATTCTTTATGACATGGGCTTTAATGCTACGCAATGCAAGTCGTAAGTGTGCGTCTTTTTAAGACATGCGAAAGTGTGTCATCTTCTTTATAATAGTGCCTTCCTTGCCACGCATTGCGCGTCGTAGACACGTGTCATAAATGTGTGTCGTAAATAGACAACGCGCAAAAGCGTGTCCTCTCTCGTTATGACAGGGCCTTGCTTGACACGCATTTGCGTGTCGTCTGAGCGTTTTACGACATGCATTGCGCGTCGTAAAAGGTTGTTTTTGTAGTAGTAATTGGAGATCCATGTTTATAATTCACCAACTTTTAGGCTGGATTAGGTATTAGAATTTGTTCAGGTATACTGAGCTATGAACTTTTTTGGAATATGTACTTAATGTGTAAAGTCATGTCATATTTAGTTCCTTTGAATCTAGGTTTTGAGGTCATGATCGTTTGGATGGTCTTATCGGGTAAAGTTGGAAACTTTATCATTCTAAACATTGCTTCAAGCCAGATCTAAAATTTGGAGCCTTTGGGATCGAAGAAAGAATATTAATCCATTAAGTTGATGAAAATCCAGTGCTCACAGCAAGACTAATGTCGCCACGGTGTGGTGGTGGGGAAAATCACAATCGAATATTACTAGAGGGACATGGCACGGCAACAGGTAGCCATGATGTGGCGGTTCACTAAAGTTAACATTGATCATTGAATTGGACCACTGAATTTTAACTTGAGTTGACTTTTAGTCAAACACCTAATTTGGAGGAAGAGCTCAAGTTTTATTTTGGTTTGACTAATTAGTTGTTGTGTAGCAGCAGTACTTTGTCAGTGAGAGCTATAACGGTTGAGTGTTTCCTGTGAAGTGAGTCTTCTCACCACATAGTGGGTAGAAGGCACCAATACTGACCCACTAATCCATATGTGTATGATGTATGTAACTGTCTGATTATTACTAATATGACTGTATGATATATGTATAGAGCCAAACTGGGCTAGGAATCAGTATGGATTTGTAGTTGATACACACCTAGGGTTGATACAGACCTGACATAGCTACTTTTTGTTACACGAGGTTGATACGCACCTGGGGGTTGATACAGACCCGACATAACCATGTGTTGTTATATATTATGTGTATGGTGTATTTGTTATTTTGGGGAA